ATGATTTTTCAGATATGTAAATATATAACAAGCATTATCATACAGGAAAACGCGCGGGACAAGGCTCAAATCATTTATCTTCTTCAGCATTTCGAGCCAGTGTAGCAGTACAATAAAACATTGTTCCGAAAGGAATAATTCGGTAAAATCGACAATTATGCCACAGTTTAACATGGTGAATTCCTACCTATAACTTGTGTTTCTAATTTTTGAGACAGTATGAGATACATTACATAAAGACGGGTAATATCCGATTTCGTCATCATCCAATTCTAGATTTGATGTAGATAATGAAGCGTTTGTTAAATTCAAGTTATTCTATAAAGATAAAATTAACAACAATTAAAGCTTGAAAACTAGACAAGATAAAGGTTTGAATCAGCCATTTAAACAACACCCACTTTTCGTCTTAAATGCCCAATATCACGATTAGTTTTAAATAAAAATACTTTTGAACGTTTAAAGACTGTTTTCTTTTTTCGTTCTGCATATATATGGCCGTGTTCAGTATGAGAAAAAGATTTATTTATTTTTCTTCTTTTTCCATGTTATGATATCATGCACTTTTTCTATCGTGTATAGTGTGATCGATATGCCAACCTAAACTTAATTTCATATTTTGTGATCAGAAAGAGGTGTCTCCAAACGTATATTTATCATTCGTTAGTATACGCAGAACTTTACGAATTTGTCGCCGTTCGACCGTTCTACTTTTCGACACTGTCGGATTTTTCTCTCAAATCCGACAGTGTCGAAAGCTGTCTGTTGAAAAGTAGAACTGTCGAACGGCGACAAGTTTGTTATGAGAAGGTGAGTTAACATGAAGTAGTTTGCTCCTCCCAAAAATATTAGGTAAAGCGCCGCGTGACCCAGGTACTTCAGCGTGAGAAACACTGTTCTACCACTCACTCTCACAATCCACCTGCTCCTCCCCCTCCTGCGCAGCGGCACCTTTAAGTCTTTACGTCTTAATATCGAGTACTGCACAGGGTACACTGAACTCTGTAACTCTTATAATAAACTGGATAAGTGGACAAATATGGTATTTCATCACCAATGTTCGACACTGTCGAATTTCGAGCGAAAAACCTGTCGAACTTTTAGTCTGTCGAAAATTTTTCGCTCGAAATTCGACAGTGTCAAAACACGCTGTCGAAAACTCTTTCTGTCGAACTGCGAAATTACCCTCTTTCCTAACTCGAATATTTCAGGATTGTATTCTTCGTCTTATATTGTAAGACGCTTTGCTACTGGATAATGTGATAAATTGAAGACTTCCAGCACTAAAACTCTTAACAAAAAGGACTTGATGATAGCCAATGGTACATATCGGCATATTAATCGAATGTGAAAAATATGTGTACTAAATAAGAATCGTTATACAAGATAGTAATTTTGGGAAGTTCAGAAGTTTTCTCAGAATTGAACAAGGACTCCTAAATGCTCTTCCTTTCAAGTATCCGGTCTGAATACTTTCTTGCTTAATTTTCGTTCAACAAAATAAAGCCCTAAAGAGGACTGGATGTAAAGTCGGTGGTTTCTCTATGAAGGCTATGAGAAGGGAGATTTACTTATAAGAATATCTAAAGAATTTTCAGTGATGCCGTAGCTAAAATCATTTCAACAACCTGCGAGACTTTAAATATTTTATTTTTTAAATATTTCTGCATTCGTTTAATGAAGTTTCATGATTACTAAGAAACTTGTCAAAATTTAGTAATTGATAAAAGCATTTAAAATTCATCAGACCTTGAATATAACTAAATATTTCAGAAAACTTTTACTCACGTAATTCGTAGGTAGAAAGTGAATCTTTTGTAACGATGATTTTTATGTGCTTGATAGTCCATCAGCTCTTGTTTCGAAACTTAAAGCTAAGAGTACTTTGAATTCAAGTGGTTTTGAAGAACGTTGAGGAATTGTAGAAGATTCGAAAGAATGCCTTCAAACTTTAGAGACCATTTCTTAGCTTCGAAGGCCTCACTGAGCTTTGAAAAATTTTAGTGGATTTCCAAAGGGTTACACCAGAATCAAAGCACTCATGTTAACTGTAGGCCGGTGGCGACCTACAGCCCTGGTTTTTGCTCTGACGCCTTGTCTTTCGCAAATGGTTTCGTCATCATTTACAACATCTTCTTCTTCTTCCCATAATGAAACGAACATCGATGAATTCTACACGATTTATCATGGTGAATGTCAAGGAAATGTGGAGCAGGCACAGGAACCAACTTTCAAATTTTTCGGCCTGGCATCTACGAAGAAAAATACCAATTTCATTCAGGCGAAAATTAAACATTTCACCACGAAGAAAAAGGACAAATTCGATGACTGGAGAAAAACCCACTCTCTCGCTCACCACAAAGAAAAACTTCTAGGTCCAGCTATTTTACATTTACTGACTGACGCTGAGAAGAATGATGAAATCCAAGAATGATCCAATCACTGAACGTGTTTCAACGCGTTAGTTAAAGAAAAGTTGCGTTCAATAGGTTAATGGAATGAGTGTCGCTCTTTGGACGTCTTGAGGTCCAGACTGACATTTTTTTTTGAAGGGTCGCATCATTAAGATTTGCGAATGTGTGGAAGGTGCACAAAAATGCAAAAAATTTAATAAAACAGAAGAGCGTCGGTGAAATACGGTCCATTCACCTCGCTGATATCAAATAATTCATGTGTACCTAAAAGTTTATCTCACGGCAAAAAAACGACGCCACTCACTTGTGTGATATCACACAATTCCTGTAAACTTAAAAGCTTTACTCCTCTGTTAATCTGTATACTATTAGCGGAGTTCCGCAAAATACGAACGATAGCCTGCATTCTTCTCGAAATGCATCATCGCCATTACTTACCTAGTAAGCGGAAGTAAAGTGCACATGCACTCTGAATTTTTGAAATGTACTTGCTTTTGAGAGTTTTTGCTGGAGTGCCTTTTGTAAAAGGAACGTTGAGAAAGAATAATATTGAATTGTGAATGTGACAAATTTGTGAGTTACTATGGAGAAAAGGAACTGATTATAATAAAAATGTACGCAAAAATTTATAGACTGTGCAGCTTAATTTTTATCAATAGTCTGCTTTTCTTCTTGGTTTTTCCGCAATCAATGATGAATAAGCAAATAACATAACAACATCTAATTACATTTACTGATTGACGCTGAGAAGAGTGTTGTCGAATCGAAAATTTGACAATTTATCTAAATATACTTACTATGTACGTTTATGTAGCTAGCTGCAACGGGTATCGAAACTAGTGCAGCTAGCTGAGATGCCCGCTAACCCACTTCAATATTTTGATATTTTTTTATAGCTAGTTGCCGCGGGTTATGAAGCTAGTGTAGCTCGCAGCAGCGGGCGCCACTAGCTTATTTTCTCATGCTTGAGAAGCGATTTGAAACGCGCTGTTGAGTGGACGATAACATCTTCAACGATGAGTAATGGAATATAATTTTAATTGATCAAGTCAAATAGAACTACGTTAATCAGAGCTGTCCAATTATCATTATACAGTATAACTATCAGCCGCACCACAAATTCCAAACTTTCAGAATTTCAGAATTTCAAAGTTATACTTCTACAGCATATCAAACCCTCCGAATTACAGAATTTCAGAGTGTCATAATTATACTTACACATGATTTCATAGTTTCAGAATTTCAGAGTTATACTTATTAGCCATTAAAGATAAGCCACGACCTGTTACGGTATAATGCTGCTCAACGGAGTTCAGCAACCGTGACCTCCGCACATGCTTTCGTTCTTTTGCAGTAGATGGCGCGCCGACAGCTCCAATCGTCGATTCGGTCAACTTTGGCGAACAACCCTATTGAAACCAAACGAAACATGAGATCCTCAATCATATTTTCAGATAGACTATATGTTGGACTGTTTCTGAAATCATTTTGACAATCTCAAGTATTTTCGTTTTCGATGTAGGTTGCTCCAAAGTTGCCACTTTTAGCAAAATGGGCCATTTTGGCAAACGGTTTTCTGCCTGGAAGCCGGGCGAATTTCCCGCTCTCTATGATATTGTTGGAGTACACCAAGTGTACTATCATGAGCCATGGTGGGATTTTTGGAATCTTTTAAAATGGCTTACGGAGTCCAGTCGGGAGGACCACGTTTTAGAGCATCGTTAAATCAACGTTTTCCTAGTACGATACACTAAAAGAACGATCAAAATCAACTCATATAGGTAATTTTCGACGAGGAATTCAATGATGATACTATAACAAGCTGATTCTCACGTTAATACAGTTTCAGGTAGGGCTTATGCCCCGGAAGCCTCTCCTAATTTCCATTGGCTGGATTTTCAATAAAATCAACTTAAACTAAAATGTTTTCAACTAAAATGTTTATGGCATCAATCACTAATATTGCACTAAAGCAGTTTGATCGAGTATTTTTGCATGCAACACTTTTTTTTGTACACGAATATTAATTATTATTAAGAATATTGGGCAATATTATGCGGTCAGAATTATTATGACCACTAATATTGGTGACCACAGTACTGGAATCCAATAATATTGGTTAACCAAAGTGAAAATCTAAACTGACAAATGCGTAGCGGAAGAATATTTTCTTTCTTTATGAAACACACAGAAAAAGTCTTTCTAAATAATTAAGTTTTATAGCCATCTTGTGAAAAAAGAGAACTCCTATCATGACTTTACTTGAATGTGAGAAAGACCTTGAATTACGTTAATTATTCATGATTTGGAAAACGAAAGAAGGATAAGAAGGGAATTTGTTTCGGTGATAAAGCTTTTGATATGGTGTGACTTTAATTGATTCAAATATAATAGATTTTAATTATGAAAGACTTCTGGTTTCACTGTCATTTTGCATCATTATCATCATCGTCATCATATGTAATGAGAAAAACTATTTCATTATTTACAATGAAATCATTCATCTCATGAAAAAGGAGATGCAGCGCACGGAATGAATAGATACTTCGTTAGACGCAAACAGAAACAACAATGTTGACATCAGAAATGCTTTGTATTATTACTTTTTGTAATATATTAATTGCTACATTATTATTTTTATTTATATTTCTAATTGTCTACATAAATCGACGACAATTTCAACAAGATATTAGTATATTATTAACAATGAATACATGTTTAGCATCATTTTTAACATGTTTTGCGGTTATAATTATGACATTATCAAATCTATTTGGTTCATTTTTAATTGTAAAGATGAAATTTTGTTATGTATGGGGTCTATTTTATGATATATTCGAATGTTCAATATATCATTCCTATACTCTACAAGCATTCTTTCGTCTATGTCGTGTTATTTTTTATAAGAAAAAACATCTTTTAAAATATCGTTTATATATTCGATTGATCGGTGCACAATGGATGCTATCATTTTTATTTCTATTGCCTGCCATTTTATTAAAACACTACACTCAATTGCCAAATCAAAAATACTGTCTTATTGCCTATACAAATGTTCCTATACAAATCTATGTTATTTTTATGATTTATACAATTCCATTAATTTCTATTCTTACTACCTATCTATGTATTACATTTTATATTCGTCGTACATCAACGGCAACAACAATTGCAACGATTACAAGACGTCAACAACAAAATTTACGAGATTTAGTTGTTCTTCGTCAAATTGTTTTATTAATAACAGTTTTAGTCATATTAAGATTTCCAACAGTTATTTTTATTGTCGACGCAGCAATTACGCATCATCTGTACAAGCTTACATATGAATTTGTTGCATTAATTACAAGTCTATGTTTAATAATTATTGCAATAATTACGCTTTGTATAACACCACAAATAAAAAATTTGATTAGGTTGATGCAAATTCATTCGACAACGTCGACCGTGGCGCAAATGCCAATGATAGTAGTAGCAATTGAACTTGCAAATAATCCTAACAATTGTTCGCCAGCAACAAAATGATGATTATATAATAGCTGTATTAGTTTTTATTCCCAATAAAATGCAATAGTCAATCACATTATAAATCATTGTCCTTCACCCACACTTTGATTTACTCGGAAATAAAACTTGAGTCATCAATTATAATAGCATAACAGAACAAACTCTTGTCGATTGTCTTTTGATCATTGGGGCCATCAACTTGACCGAGGCATGAAGTTTCTAATTTTAGAGAAACTGGCAACAATGCGTTATTCCACCTAATAGAGGTTTTCACTTAGTTCTGAATTTTCTTCTGAAAATAAACGTTGCTATGAGACTTGGCGCGATCGATTGCCTGTACTTCGATTCATTTTTGTGATTATTCCATCTAAAGAAATTGATCGCGAGGCAGTCAGGAAATCCAACGTCACGCCTAAATCACAAAAAATCAAGAAATTGTTTAGTTCCCATTTTCATCATTCCGTTTATTGCTAGCATTTCACAAGAAGCACATCCAGGGCATGTTTATACCTTCAGTCTTACCAGATTTCCCACTTTGTCAGTAACCACGGCTGGTCATGAGACGAAATATTGATCCACTTATTCAACAACGTGTTATTGGTAACTTCTGAAAATTTCACGTCTGACGTCAAAGATAGTGGTTTCATAAAATCCTTTCCGTGTCTTCGTAAAATTTAGCTGACGTTTATCTACTGCAATTATAACTCCTTGCAGTCAAGGGAGAGAGTGAATCAGCATGATAAACGTTATTTGTATTTCAGAGATTTTAGCGAAACAAATTGTAGTACAGACGTCTCAGTTTGTACGAATAATTAATTTCAGGTAATTCACAATTTTTTTCTCGTTTTGCTTCAGCAATGCAAAAATACCATTTCTCATTTTTTTGACAAGGTTATTCGATGGCATCTTTATCGTACGGACGTTTCGTTCCCCTCATAAGTATGAGCGACCGATTTGCGTCTGGCTCGGTATCTGATAGGCTACTTATAGGAGAAACTAGTGATGGGCCGTAAGACGTAAGAAGCGTCATTTTTATCGTTTCTGTTCTTTCGTCCGTCATGACCTATAGATGTACAATATAGATCACGGATGACGGTAGAAGTAAAGGAAAGAGAAAAGATAACGTAGGACGGTAAGGAAATGTTTTTTCTTACCGTACGAAACGAAGGAGTTACGATTATTACGCGAAATTCTTAACGTAAGTGAATCATCCTTAACGAAATAACGTCAAAGTATATATAATACATTTATGTACAGACTATACATAAATACACTAGACAGTATCGACTAAAAAACCATACTATACCGTATACAGTATAGTACGGTAGAGCGAAAGAATAATACATGAAAGTCCAGGATCCAGGCACACACACAGAGAAACAAAAAAGTCTGTTTAGCTAAAACGTCTGATTTTTTGTCTAAGGTTTTAGAGCAGAAAAAATCACATAAATTCTTTGGGATCATTCGCATATGTCATAATGTTGCTATAGCAGTACTCTTAAACATAATCCTCATGAAAATAAATTTTATTTAAAACAGAAATTAATACAAAAAAAGAAAAAGAAACCAAAAACCAAGACGACATAGGATAGAAAGTATAAAATTAGATGTGGCTATTATAAGAAATATGAACAGGTTTAGCTATATATATATATATGTCATTGTCCACTCTTTTTCTTTTCTCATTTATCCTTTCTTCTGCAGGTGACACCTGTCACCGTGCCTTTCTATATTAACAAAAAAAATATTATACAACAATATACATGGACTAACAGTGAAACATGATTTTTTTATGCATAGTATACTTTCATAATGAGTTTCATTATACTAATACATACTTAGCCTAACCCTAGTCCAACATCTTGAAACCAAGATCTTGTCCAAGATCTTACGTTAAGATTTGGCACTAGATCTTGAAAAAATGGGTACAAGATCTCAGGACATTTTTGTACTCAAGATCTTACGCAAGACCTTGGATACAGATATTTCTTGATATCTTGTACCCAGGATCTTGAACATTTGAAAAATCGTCATATTTCAAAACTAACTTTTTTTCTTTGCATTTTTTCAACAAGTGTTGGGAACAAAAGAAATTCCCAGAAGACTTCTCCATATCATCAAAACATGTGAAGTAAAATTCTTCATTCTCCCACTGAAAAAAATAATCAAAATTCATGCAGGATCCTGCCGGTTATCGGTATTAAAATATCTGGGATCTGGGGATGTTTCTTACCTTTACGCAGGATTTTTATACTGCCAGCCCTGATAGAACCCTGCATAGTTTATGTAGGGTCAAGCTGGAAAAAATCCTGCATAAAGGTAAGAAACATCGCAAGACTTTTTGACTTATTCAATCCAGAAGTGTTTTCCTACGGGATCTGGCAGAATTTTGTTGGTTGAAAGAAAAAGGATTTTGTTCTCCATGTCTATCCTGCGGTATTCAGCAATCTTTTCTCACCAATGTCTGTCAGAATGACTGTGGAGGAAGTTGTCTGTATTTTATTTTTTTGGAAAGTTAAGTACTTTTTTCTTATGAAGTTATAAAAAATTTTCAAAAAAGTGTTCAATAAACTTCTGGAAAACGTATACCTTAATATTTTGACTTTAACACGCATTTTCATGTGTACAAAACCAAACTACTAATAGATAGCTAAAAAGATCTTTTTTATGTCAGGAATATTCTATTTTTTTCCATCAATAGTCATTAGAATGGTCACACTATTGTGAAAAGAAGATGTATAGCAAAGTAGAGATATCACACTATTCTAAATTTCTTCAGCTTTGAATGGCATCTCATTCAAAGCTGAAGAAATTTAGAATAATTTAGAAAATAAACGGGACCAAACGATAAGTTTTCATCCCGTTTATTTTCTAGCATTCTATTCTTTTTTTTCTATCAACAGTGTACTAATTCATATTAATATAAGTCATTAAGATAACGTAAGAAACTGATACATGGCTGATATATTCATACGTTGATACGTATCAATATGGACTAGTTCGTTTTTCTAAACCTGGATCAATAACTATTTAATTTTAACGAAGTCATTTTGTCTACTCAATGATAGAATTTAACTGTTTAATGGAAAAGCTTTTGCAAAGAAACGATACTCATGAATGAAACAATGGCAAGGATCTGACGAAACGAGAGGCTGAAAGTTTACAACAATTGTGATAATAAATTGAAGGGGTATTTTAGACGATATGAAAATGATACTTTGTCTGGAACTGAACTTACAATTAAATGTGGCAGATGTGTTAATACTTTAAAATTACCTGTTTCATTGTAACTCGTAAATAAAATAATAAATGTAACTTATAAAGCCATCTATCAATTTCTTACATTATCTTAATGACTTATATTAATATGAATTAGTACACTGNAGTTATAAAATGACTAGAATGCTAGAAAATAAACGGAACGAAACAAGTATGGGGCGAAATGAGAGTAATCCCTTTGAATACTCTGTTGAATGGTATATAATTTAAAAACTTCGGTAAATCATTGATAAGTTATAGGGAGTCATATGCTTTTTGTAGATCGATAAAACACATGTACAGTGGCTTGTTGTATAACTTTGATGTTTCCATAACCATTTTTACGGTGAAGACATGATCCATTGTTGATCTGTTGGACGTAAAACCAGCTTGTTGTTCAGGAGTTTTTGATTAAGTAATTTTTGTATGCGATTCATAATAACACGTGTGAAAACTTTTGCTGCAATAACCCACAAGGAAATGCCACAGTCAGTATGGAGACATATCCCGATCGGGATGTACTCCCAATCAGGGTATCATTTTTTACAGCAAAATCCTTGTATACCCCCAATGGGATATAGTTTGAATTTATATCCCGATCAGGATATAATTCGATATCCGGATTGAGATATAAAAAAATCTATATCCCGATCAGGATATGAAAAATTTTAACTTTTAATTTGTAAGAAAATGATAAATTTAGTTATATGAGAGCTGAATATCCTCCTTCTTTTTCTTTATTCCCCCTCTCTGACGTTCCTAGTACGGTCTTCATATGTCTTGATCGGGGTATAGCTATATCCCGATCAGGATGTAGAAGGTGCCCACAGTGAGCATCAAAGCGGAAAGGACAGGTGCCAAAATGGTCACTTTTCGTCCTAAAATAAATTGGCATGAATTATACATTTTCGGAATCAGCATCGAATTCTGAACAAAACTGTCGTTTTACATTTTTGAAATTCGACAAAAGCATTTTCCGAAATTTTTTTTAGGGCAACCCCTCAGGGACTTCGAAAATTTTTTTTCCACTTTTTAATAAAAATAATGTCTATTCCTATAGATTCGAGCACGGTGATCACGAATATCACAACCGCAGCTCATAAAAATGTTTCCTCGTTGAACGGTGACCATGACAATTTTTGGCCTAAAACTCGGTATTTTTCGTTTTGGCCCTATTATCTCGGTTCGATTGTGTTTTGGAGGGCTGAAAATACTTTGTCTATATGTAATTCGACGTGCTCTATGCGAATGTGAAAGAATTAGCTTCGAGACATGCAAACTGAACTCCGTGGTCTTACGTCACCTGATTCACCTGATTCCAGGTCACCATTCAACGAGGAAACATTTTTATGAGCTGCGGTTGTGATATTCGTGATCACCGTGCTCGAATCTACTAAAAAAATTTTCGAAGTCCCTGAGGGGTTGCCCTAAAAAAAATTTCGGAAAATGTTTTTGTCGAATTTCAAAAATGTAAAACGGTGGTGTATAAATGTCTATTTTGATATCCAATCTTTCGAGGAGAAACCAGGCCACAAGAGGAGCATAACAGATATCACGGAAAGTGACACATACGCATGAAATCTTGATTATTTATTCGCTTAGCCATGTTAAACGATTCAAAAGCACATATTCAGAATCTGCAGATCCTCAGCTATCTACTGATATCAAAATATGTATACTTCAACACAGAATTCTATAAAGAACGTTGTATGGAATTTGTTTAAAGCCAGTTCGGGATGAGATCAACTCAGTATAATGAA